CCACCTCTCTGAGAAGTATGGAATTTTTATGTAAATTACTCATTAAAATATTGTTATTACTCTGGCAAAACATAATTTTATACCCTTCAATCTTATTTGGTTACAGGGCCATCAAATATAAAATCAGACACATCTTGCCATGACCACCTATCACATCCTCTTTCACAAATACTTCTCTGATGTTTCATATTACATTCATTATTTATAACCAACAGAAAACCAAGTTTTAACCTATGAAATGGTGTATTATATTACATTGTTTGCTGTACAAAGAATTGTCTATTTTGCTTCCAGTTCAAACTTTATTTTCATGGGAAACACATCAACGAGCTTATCTGAATTTTTAATGGCTCTTCTTGCATAGCTAGAAAGCAAGAGAAATTATCATAATTAAAGGATATTGTCTTCCTTTTATGTGTTATTATTCTGTGTTCTTAGGTGAATTATTTAATTAAATAAATAATTATTTAGTTTAGTAGTACCAGTATAAAAATAAGTAGGGTTAAGTTTCATTGACAGTCAACAGCAAAAAAAAGAAGGCTCAGCTAAGTATTATTTTTCTTGTTTTTTATGTGTATTCTCTCTTTATTATTATAAAAGTAACTAAAATTAGAAATTTATTAGATTATATTAGGTAAAATATAAAAAAGTAATAATAATAATATTTTTCACAAGTAGCTTGTGAGTTACATAATTTGATAGGATAATTTTGATTTACAACTTTCATGATGGGATTATTAGTTAGGCAGGGTTGAAAGGGCAGATAAAACAATAAAGTTAAAGTAGAAACAGATGTATACCATTACCATCCTTAAGCTGTTTAGGATAAACAGGTCTAGTTTCCTGTTACAAATTGAAGTCATTCAAGAAAGAAAAAAGGGTAATTTAGATTTATTTCCTTTTTTGGGCTTTTTTTTTATGGTGGTTGTGACGTCAGTCAAATTGACTGATCCTGAACAGAGTTAGAGTAGAGAAAATAACAGATAAATTATAAAGTTTTACTGAAAAAAGTTTGAATTTTATTTAGGTTTTAAAGATTATGCAAATGAAATTTGATAATTTTCAGACGAAGAAAAGTATTTTTAATCATAACATGAAAATCATTTTGCACTTGGACTAGTATAAAGAAATGCTATATATATTCATGGACAAATCTTCAGTAAAAATCTAGCTTTAAAAATTTCATGAAGATACCCAAAATATATTCAAAGATATTGTACGAAAACTGAAAAGTCAATTTGGGGTCAAGTTATAGGACAAATCAACTGAGCCTGTAGTGAGAGAGTTATTAAATAAATCAATAACTTTTATAAGAGATCTCTGGTTTACTACACTGTAGGTGGATACTGGAGCTTTGTGAACACAGTCTGTCATGTTTAGTGTAGTTTCTGTACTGAAAAACAGTAATAGTACCACAAAGATTACCTAATCATACTATAAAAGTGTTGTTTATTTGACACAATTTATTTTATTTCTATAAATATGTTAAATTAACATAAAATACAGTAAATTTCCATTTGGTTTTAAAATGGGGGGGGGGGTAGAGCAATATATAGTTTAAGAAATGTTTTTTTCACTAATGGTATATTAATGATTGTGATCTGGAAATGTTTGTGATCATTAGGATTTATTGTAGGTGACAGTATTCAACAGGACTTGTCGATTATTGAAATTTGGAGCTTTTTACCTGTTTTGTAAAAATATCACACTTTTAAAGGGAAATCATCTATTGGTTACATTTTTGAATGCACATTATATGCATGTGCATATCAATTCTGCAGCTTTATCTTTAGGCATCAGTGACTGCAGTAAATGTCTTTTTTATGAGGAGTTGTGGAAAATTTCTAGTTTTATAGTCATGAGAATTTGATCTAATAACAGAACTCAGCATTATATGATATGATAAAAAAGGACTTGATTAAACTTTAACTAAATTTTTGATCTAAAACTAAAATGCATTAAGGAAAGTTAAATATTGAAATGGTGTTTCCATTTAATTTTGTGCTCTATGAGCAATTTTGTTAAGGTTTGTAAAATGATCATGTAGGAGAAACGATTCTAACATGAGTTTCTAAATATAGAACTTCGTAAGCAACTAATTTTAATTAATGGTGGGAGACATTTCATTTGTTTCTGCTTCAGATATGGATCAACATGGTTTTGATCAAACAGGAGGGGGTTTTCTGAACTCTTCGGGGAATTTTGGATCACCTGCTGTTGGTTCTCCTAATGAAAAGAGAAAGGTGAGTATTTAATGTTTTGTGTAAAACACAATTTTAGGAATTAAATTAATATTATACATGCATTTAGGTAATAGCTCAGGGTGTATTGAAATTTTTTCAGACTTGATAACAGTATGCCCCCCCTCCCCAAACACACACACGCAGTGGCTCTTCATTAACACTGCAGGCTTATGATGCTAGAAATTGGGTTTTAATACTTATGGTGGGCAGAGCTCAGTTAGCTAATTGTGTAGCTTTGTGCTTAACAACAACCCCCCCACCTATAAAAGTAATTGTTTGGGACTTAGTTTTGTTAATGTGTCAAGCTTATTTTAATTTATTCATTCAGCCTCAAAATATCTGTTGTACAATTTATAATTCAAGTAGTTTTGAATAAAGAAAAATCACATTTCTTTTTGTGAGAGAACTTACCAAGATTTATTTGTGAAATCCTCGATATATTTTTAGGGTATATTTTAAGTTAGTTTCCATTTATTTTTAAGACAGTAACATGTCATTACTAAAAGATCTAACTTTAATGAGTTACTTCTTCAAATAAAAATTCATGTAGCTTTAAAGTATGCATCTTAAAACATAACAGATGTATTAGCTGCTAAAAGATGATGTCCCAAAACTACTATAACTGGTTAAATAGGTTAGAGAAAAAGCTGCTTGTAGTTTTTCAATAACAATCACACATGAACCATCTGAGAATTGTCTAAGTCTGTCTGCCAAAATAAATAAGTGTAATGAGATTGTATTAGCTGGAAAAATTGTTCTTTCTATTGGTTATAAACATGCCTAACAAATAAAGATGTGCTGTATAGATAAATTTGTTCAAAGTTATGATAAAATGGGAGAAGCTTCACTTATGGATGCAATAAATTTATTTATATCTTGTAAGTTCAAAAAGATAGGTTCATATTTTATATGCTGACCTTTCAGTATTTAGTTTGTGTTTCTAATTGGTTGGTCACTTTGAAACCCATAAAAGAAAATATGGAAAATCTAAACAGAACTGAAAGGGGAGGTTGTGTCATGTGACATAGAGCAGTGAAGATCGAGAATTTGTTTAAATATTTCCTTTAGAAATTAAATAATTAAAACTTAGTTTATGTAAAACTTTGAATTATAAACTACATTTCAATGCCAATTATTTTAACATGTGATAAATTTTTAATGTAACCCCGTAAAAAATGATGCACACTTTAGGCCTGAGCAGAGATCATATGGTTAACAGGCTTGCGTTAATGACAGTGACAGATAGCCTTAGTAGCTTTTCCATAAAGATGGGGCAACAAGTTTGGTGGCATTATTTTAATTAGTTGTATAGTTGGAATAATCAAAAATAGTAACACTATGAAAACATAATTTAGTTGTTGTTTTTGTGATAATCAATTTAATCGTAATAATCAGAACAACTAATTTAATTTACCTTTAGTTAATCAATTACTTTAAGTGACACTGACTGATGTAATCACTTCTCAGAGATAATAAATTACATCACCCAGTTCTTCATACAAAAAAGCTTATATCAATTCCCCAAATGGAAATTAATTTGGGGGGGGGGGTCAATATGTGGGTTCAAATTTTTTAATATTTGATTTTATTACTTTATTCAAAACAAATTCTAGTAAAGTTTATATCAAAACATAGTTCTAGATGTAAGCATTTCAATTATAGTTTTATTCTATAGATGATTGAAAGAGGAGATCTGACTAAATTTGTGTAAACAGTGTTATCTTGTGGGTTAATTTACTATGTCACCAAGGGCAATATTGTTACTATAGTGAACACTTAAAAACTTAATGTTTGTAAAATAATAAACATATGAATCATATACTGTATTTAACAACTGTCTTAAATAAAACTATTATTGGGGAGTTATCAAATATAAAATTAGTTGATTATTAAGTATTGTTGGCATCATGTACTTCATGATTTTGTGTAAAGGACTAATCTTCATGTTGATATTGATGTTTGCTGGTTTTTGTTTGTTTACAGGGTGAACGGCTACACAATGTAGTTCCAGTGACAGTAGCACAAGTTTTACAAGCATCAGATAAAGAAGAACACCTTAAAGTTGGAAGTATGGAATGCCATATTGTAAGTTATTAGTATATTATTTGTTTTGTCTTTTACTAGGCTTGAAAAATAGGTGATTGGAAATGGAAAAGTCAAATTTTATTTTTAATTTTTTTTCCCCACACACTTTATGAATCTGTGAATACCTCTGATTGTTCTTTGATTTGTCAACAGTGAAGTATGTTAATTAACACATTTAAGGAAGTCTTTATCTGTGTTTGTTTTATTTCAAAGTTTTTTTCAGTAACAAAATCACGGCAGTTTCAGGTACTTCGTTGTGAGTAGAAGCTTGTGAAGATAAAATAATAAACTAGAAGGAAAGAAAAAATTTTAATGATAGTTTATAGTAATCACAAACTTCAAGCTTAAGTAAATATATGAAATCTAAACATAACGTTTCAAATCAGGACATGTATATATTGGAGTCTTTCTGTTTAAAATTCTGTAAAACTTTAAGTTAAATGCCAATAAATTTTGTATGATACAAAAACAAAATTCTTAGTGAATTGCTTCATTCCATAATATTTCTGTTTAACTAATGTGTTCTATCTTTTTTACATAGTTGACTCTTGTGGGGCTGGTTCGCTCTGTTGATGAACAAACTACTCGAATAACATACCAACTGGATGATTTCACTGGCCCCCCACTTGAGGTGCAGATGTGGTTTGGTGAAAATGAAGTGAGTTTAACCAATATTTTGAAGTGTGGCATGTATAAATACAATATATATATAATAAAGTATTTATTAGTATTTTTAGTAGGTTTATTTAACTCTAGATTTCGAGTCCACTGCAGTGACTACATCATTGAAAGTTGGTTTCAAAACATGGAACATGCAAATATTTTCTGAATTTGTTAAAATTCATATCAGTTTGTAGTTATGAATTGAGGCTTTGAACTGTTAAATGGGATCCTCTTTGTGTGGTGACCATTGAGAACATACAAAAACAAACCCTAGCCTCAACCACCTTTTTTCCAAAATATTAGAAAATAACACTTTTTTTTTGTCCTTGTATTACTTTATTGTAGTATCAACTTGGCAGTATACAACATATGAACTCTTATCATTTCTCTACAGTGATAATAAAATGTAAACCCCTCAGTTGTGCACTGAAATGCACTCACTGTGGGTGCAATCATGATTGCTTATTTTTTGAAAGAAAGCTAGAAATACTATTAGCAATACTTTCAAGAAGGAAAGAAATGATTGAAACAACAACATAAATACAAAGTTTGTTGTGCAGAAGATGAGCCTGTACCACTACTACTGCTGACAGTTTTCCTTGTACTATCATAAGTATTGGTATTGATAACAAAGGGTGATACAATACATTGAGTGTTTTGGAGGGTATCCTATATCATTGCTCAAAGATCTTGCATCCAGCTGCTCCAGAAAAATATGTGATGTGTTACCTGAAAAAGCAATGATGTTGGGTGTGCCACAAAATGACAATAGAGTAACCATACCAAACTGCTGTATGTTTGAAATGTTAAAGTTTATGAAATTCATATAAAACTAAATGAAATGGTCCAGAGCTTTAAGGAATTTTTCTTGTCACAAGGGCCGTTATGAAGTTGCAGGCAGCTGAATCCATGAATTAGTTTGAAAAATGGTTGCACACCTCACATCACTTATTATAATAGGATACCTGTCTTGGTAAATAATGATTTTCTAGATTTATTAAATGTCCTGTTTCCATCATTTGAAACTATTGAAGTCAAATGAAGTTTGATGTGCATCAGAGTATAAAGCACCTCAGAGGTAATCAAGTTTTCTTCAGATTGACAATGAAATAATTAATAACACTGCCCAGTTATATGGGGTAATGAGTTTTGTTAGTGACAGACTTGTGAATGGCACAGTAAATATTTTAATGTAGATTCTTTGCAACATAATACCTTCCAGGCTGCAGTAAAATTTTGAACACTTTCAATGATCATTTGGAATCTAATGATGTTGTGTATGCATGGAATCACCGATGGACTTCACAAACCATGGAAGAATGATGAACAAGAATATGCACTCCTTAGCTAACAAATCTGTTTTCAGTGTAGTTGGTGATATAGCTTTGTATGACCCAGATGACAAAGGAACCAAGGCTCTGCTGAATGATTGTTGGGACTCAAGTTTTAACTCACAAACCAGCAATGGATGATTCTAGCCTTACATAATGAACTGAAATATATAACAGACATAGTAATAATTGTGGTGGCTCTCAAATAAAGTTTGAAGCAGAATATTTTTGAGAAGAAAAGCTACTGAAAGCTCATGAAAAGAGGGATATGCTGGTATGGAGCTATGGGATGGAAATGTAGGTGAAGCAGTTGAGAATAATGTGTACTTTGACAACATTCTAGTTGAAAGCATCAAATAAGACATGGAGACTGTTTTGTCTCTACCAAGTGCATATCAGTAAGTGATATCTGTAGTGATTTTGTAGTGTGATGATGCGAAATGCTACATGAGCAAAGATTTGAGTGTTTTTGGATTTGTTTTTCATATATTAGTTGTGTTAAGTGTGTGATTCATTCACACAGAAAATGAAGATGGAAAATTCTTATGGGTTAGTAATCTTACAAAATCATTATCAATGGATTATCATCTGGATATGAGAGGGCAACTGTGCACTGATGGCATCACCTATTGATGACTACAAAAAGGTTGATGATGATAATGATGGTGATGGCATTGAAGAGGATGGGAATGATATGTTTGATGTGGATGATCATGTTGACCAAAATAAGTATGCAAGAGTATAGGTACCTTGTCTGGAGTTTAGTCCTTTTCAAGTGTATGGCCATGGATGCAGAGGCAATGAAAGACAGCCCTTGTTGTCCAAGTCTCAACAGTTGAGGATGATACTAAAGAAACTTGATTTCTTGGTCTAAACAGATTGCTTTGCACATGAAAATCTCTTGTGTTTTGGTTGTTGAAGATGATAAGGAAGATGATCCACACCTTTATACTGGTTTTGAAGATTATGTTATGCTGGGGACTTTTCTGATGAGATTGGCAGGACAACCACAACAGAAGAAAATATTTGGGAAAAAGTACGTAGCAAACTACTTTGTTGAAATAGTACAAATGTTTGAATGTTGTGCTCAAAATAAATCATCTGCAGCCACTGCATAAAATACTTTGATAAAGTATTATGTCTGTTTAATTTCTGTAGTCTATATTGGTGTATAAAAGACATTTTACACTAGAAATAAACAATCTTTCGAAACCAAGTTTGTTATTTTTCTCTAATAAGACACTCAACATTTCAATTTACAGCTTCTTCAGGAGCATTTCACTAAAACTCAAACTGTAACTGAATCGTACAAAGATTGAAATAGTTTAAATAATAAATTCCAAATCAAATTTATAGCATCCATTTGACATATTAAGTAGTAAAGCTTATTGTTGAAACTTAACTGCTACCTGTAGTAAACAAAAGCTTATCCAAATTACAGATTAAATTACAAAAGATAAGATGAAAAAAGAATTATAAATATGGGTGCCATCCTTTGTCCCTATTCATCTGTGGTCATAGGTGTTTGATGAGAAGAGCTTCTTTAAATTTTCTGTCAGTGTACTTGGTGGTTTTGGTAAGAATTTTTACAGAAAGTGGTAGTTTCGTGTCAGGTATTATTAGTTCACGATTGGTTAAACAATTATCTGCAACTGTTGTTTATAAAGAGAGTCAATATGCTCACTTATCCTTGTGTGTAGGGTTCTTTTGTTTTCACCAGTGTATATGTGATAGCAAAGGTATTATCTCTCGATGTATAGAAGACATGGCAAGAAATTTCCTAAATGATCAATTTGCAGAAGAGAGGCAGGGATATAAATAGAATTAAACAACAAAAAGAAGTAGCTAAAATGCTTTCTACACTTGTACTAAATGGGTTTATTTTGCAATGTTTTGGCCTTAGGCTCACTTCAGGCATTTAATGCAAGTGGCCAAGAATGCTGTTTAGTATCAGATTTTGACATCAGTGTCTTTCCGAGTCTAATATTCCATCCTGGTGTTACTGAGAAGGTTGGTGTACCACAACAGACCATAGAAGTTTGTCATTTATGCTTCCTATTATAGTAGCTTCTTGCAGACAGGAGCTCTGAAATTACATTTAAAGCTAGTTTTATAATGTATTAGTGATGTTGTTCCTCTATGTTCCACAAAGAAAGTGATCATCTGTGGAAAAATGTTTGCTGGGAAATATTTTGTCTCAGATGAAACCAAAACCAATTTTGACATTTGTGATCCTGATCTCAAAGACTAAAGCTGCATATCTAGTATTTTCCAATCAAGCAACTTTGATTTTTCTTACCCAAAATAAATGGGTAACTTAATTCAAATGTTAACATCCAGAGGCTTTAATCTTGCCAGCAATTTATATTTTTTAAAACAATACAATCATCAAATTTGATTGATGAACATCCTGTCCCTGTTCCCACAGTTAAAAAAATGAACAGTAAGTTTGATTGGTTCTTACATATCTTGGTTATGAATCTCAGTTTTAACTTCTACATATTTCACATAGATGTGTTTTCAAAACATAATTCAGACTTTGTATCTTTCTTCCTACAAAGATAAAATTTCTATACTGCTGAGATAACTAATTGTCCTTTGTGTTCAAGAGGCTTCATTGGCTCCACCACTAGGTGTCATGGACAAATAATTATTGAATTATTAATATTAACTTTTGAACAAAGCAAGTTACCTACATAGAGTAGAATTTAATATCAATTTTTAATAACGAGGATAGTAAATAAAGTGTAATATTTTTGCATTCTTACATTAAAAAATTAGAATGCAATGTGTCATTTTATAATAGCTCACAAGTCCTTACATGCATATTTTGACTTTCTTTTCTCAACTTCTACTGAACCAAGACTATGTACTTAGAAGTTTCTTCCAATCCAGACATTATTTCCCTGGTTGTAAATCTTGTATGGGGTAGCAGTGTGACATTGTGTCATCCCTGTTTGTTTTGTTCTCACACTTAAATACTTAATCTAATTCCATTAACATTTGGTACACACTTTCTACATATTATGTAGTTTGTGCTTGGAAAAAAAGTACAAAAAATCATTTAGTTTAATATTTGTATAATATTTTGGTATTGAATTTTCCAAATTTGTTTCAAAATGTTGTTTTTGAAATATACTTCCTTTCTTCTCAGTTTGTTATATTTTCATTGTGTATTTTCATGTAAATGTATACAATAACTATAGCATACTCATTTTCTAGTTTGTTCATACAATTTCTATACAAAGAAAACTAACCATTAAAAAATAAGAAAGAAAACTGGATACTTTTAAATATTATTTATCAGAAAGTTCCATTTTATATAACTAATTAGCCTAACTTGTTTTATTTTCATTAGTTATTTATTTTTGCCCAGTAGAAACACAATTTGCACTGATATCCTAGACTCATACTGATATAGACAAAATATTTTAAACTATGTTTTTGGTCAAGCTCAATTTCTTTTTGATTATTATAGTTTGTTTTCAATAACTAAAGAGTTCTTGTACATGTTGTTTAAGTAATAAGAAATACACTAATACACACAAATACAAGCTTTTTTTATTTTGATAATTTGTCTTCACAGAACTACTAGCTTACTGTACTAACTTACCCCAAAATATCCTTACATTGTCATCTCATGAATGTTCTTGTAGTTTTACAGTGAATTTACTATAACAAATATTATTATGAATGAAAAGAAACTATAAAAAAAAAGTCGCAAGTTTGTGGCTTGTACCTATGTTTTCTAAACTTCATATTAAAATTCTTTGTTTTTTAGCATGAAAACTTCTGCTAATCACTTTCTTAGAATGTTATTACTTCACATTGACAAAGAAAGATAAGAATTTTTTTTTATCCAATCATTTTTTAGCCATTGGTTCTATCTTCGATGGAGGCTAAGATTTATTGGTTACTGTAGTATCATAAAAGCCTCTCGACAAGGCTCTTGAAATAGCCATTAAGAGAAAAGGAAAGTCGCATAAGAATCCCAAATGGATGTGAATTTTAAGGAAATGCCAGAGTATAGGTAAACATAAACCTGTGCTTTGGGATGGGAAAAAAAAATTAAGAAAATGTGTAAGAGATTTGTTTACAGGTGATATCCATTGTATCTAAATAGAGGTCAAAGTTCAAATATTTTTAAAATTTTCTTTGAAAATTGCACTAACTGCCAAAATATCAATTCTTGGGTATTTTCCTTAAAAGAATGTTGAATAGTTAATTACTCTTTTGTAATGCCTTCGAATGTTGGATAGCAGTCCACCAGCTGTGGTAAGGTTAATGTGCAGTAGTTCCTCCTGTATTGACTTAACTGAAATAAAAAGAAAAAAAAATATTTTAAATGTTATGAATGTTAAGTATTGGCAAAATATATTTTTCTTCCAGTAGGGATGTGTACTAAATGTCCAACTGTGATGCAAGATTTGAATTTGTTAGTAGGTTTCATTAATCATTTTTTTTTAGTTTGCAAAATATTTGTTGTAAATTTATTTCATTTTATTCCTAATAGTATTATGTAAACTTCTTTGCTTGGTCAAAATTGCAGCTACCTAACTTAGAATGTACATTAATGACAGTTTTTTTTCATTGGTTGTCTGTTATAGGATAGTAGTCATTACTAAAAATTAACCTACCTGATTGACCTTGGTGTAAGGCAGTAGGGAAATCTTTGTTTCTCAGAGTTAAGTCTATTGATATACATTGCTGAGTTTTAATTTTGAGTCAAACGTATTAAAAGAACCTACTTTTAGCTTAAGGAGGAACCTTTTGGAATATTAATATTTAGAGAAACTATTATTTGTTTTGGAGGAATTCAGTGACAAGAGATCTTCTATCATGGAAAACACATATCTTCGTGTGTATGGTGGACTCCGGACTTTCAAAGGGAAAAGATTGCTTAATGCCTTCAAAGTTACTCCAGTAACCAATCTTAATGAAGTTACAATGCACATTCTAGAAGTTGTTCACACTTCAATGGCAATTGCTGTTATGGACAGTCAGGTAAAACATCTCAGAGGTTTATAGTGGTTTATTTGTTTAATACTTGTGTAACTAATGTTACAACTTTTGTATCTGATTGGAATTTCTTTAATGCAATGCTGGTCGAAGATGTTTGAATATATTTAAGGGAAATCACTTTTTTTTTTCTCCATAAAAACAAATTACTCTGGAGGCAAGGGTTAAAAAGGTCAACCTTATTTTTGGTAGGAACTAGAGTACAACTCTCAATCTTCAAATCCTATTACATTTTTAAGTAATTGGTCAATTCACTTATTTCTTCAGTTTTAACTTTATAATTTCAGCAGAAGACATTTATTACCACATCCCTCTGGAGCCAAGGGATGTCTTTACACTACAATTTGTTGAATATTAAAAGTAAGTTCAATCTGGAAACTCCCAAAGAGGTTGGTTTTGGATATACCTTTTTGAGAAAACTTGAAGAGAAGTTTTCATTTGTTAATTCATAAATTTTTAAGAGAAATACAGCATTCTCAAGTCTCTATACTAGCTAGTACTAAGGTCTACCTGCTGGGAGTAAATTCAGTATATATATTAACAAATCCACATCTTCAGCATCATTAATTAAGCAACTGCCAACCTTTTATGCTTCTGCTATCACCTTTTTTATGTTTAGCTTTCAATTGAGATACAAACGATTTCACCTGCGATTTGGTAGGAAAGGTCAAAGCATTACGATAGTCAGCAGTAGGATGAGCAGACAGGAACACCTTGAAAGCAGCTACAAGTATAATATTAGCATTTTATGTGTTCAAAGGAAAACAAAGTTTGATAATAAACAAGATTACGACACTTATGATATACAACATTGTTTATTGACAAAAAGGGGACATAGATAAACGTTTCAGAATTCTATCAGATTCCATCTTCAGTATCTAAAGCAAAATAAAATAAATTTACATAAGTCTTTGGACATTGTCAAAGTATAATTGCTAAATATAACGATAATTAAACAAGTAAAACACAAAACAGTAATCATGGAGAGAAACTACAGCAAGAAAACTCAAAAACAAAAAGTAAAATCAGTAATATGAACATGTTAAAAAATGTATAATTTAAATGAAGACTGCATGTTGTTCAGTGTTGGAGAGTGCTGTTTGATGTGGAGGGTTTCTTTAATCAATAATTCCAGGTCAGTATTAGACTTGCAGAGGATAGAGAAATTTGATAGTATAGGTTGATGCCCTGTTTCTTCACTATGTTGGCGTATAGAAGAAACACAGGGGTTACTCAATTTTTTTTGTGTTTTGATGGAACTTCCCATATGTTCATAGGCTCTGACTTTTAAATGACGTTTGGTTTTGCCAATATAGGAGGCCTTACAGTCTTTACACATGTAAAGATAGACAAGCCAGGAACAATAAGGAATGGGGAGGAGATCTTTAGTAGGGAAAAACTATTTTATGCCCCAGTGCTAAAAGAGTGCAGGAAATGACTTCTTTTTAGCCAATAAAAATGTCCAAAAAATGTCATTTCAAATTAAGAAAAACTGGATTGGGTAGTTGTTTTTTCAACAAAAATGTCCCCCACTGGCTTGTGAGAGGCCTGTTAAAAAGTATTGTTTTAACAAAAACTATTTATTGTCAGTGGGTAAAATTAAATGTGTCATTATCATGAAATCTATTATAGAACAAAGTATTCACTTGGTTAGCTGAAAGGGTAGTTGTCCATTTAAACTTGAGTGAAGAGGCCTAAACATTGCAATAAAGAAACTTTAATGAGAAATTCTAGTAATATCAGTTAAATCACTTTGAGTTTAAAACAGAATTCCTTTTAATAACATTTGGTCTCTTTTTTTTTTCATGAACGTATGTTTAGAAATAGTGATTCAATTAATTTTACTTTTGAAACCAATTTAAATCCTAAATTTATATTCAGATACCACAGATTCATCTCATATTATTTTTTCTTCATAATGTGTGCTTCAAACATGCCAAAGATTTGAATGAAAAAAAATTTAAAGCCAAAATTTATTGAATAGAAAAAGAGAAATATAGTTTCAGCTACATAACTTGTTTTTCCCAGTCTTGATCACTAACTGTATCCTTTATTGGGTTACTTTTTGATTAATTCTTTTCAGATAATTGCATTTGAGGATTTGAGTATACACTATTTGAGTTGAATGCAAGAGATGTAATTTTTATTCTGTAATTTATTCTTGGGGCATTCTAGAATGCCCAAGCAATGTCAACTACAGGGTTTATTGCTGAGCCACCAGGCAACACACAGATGGGCATGAACATAAGTGGAGGAGCAATGCTTGCAGATGTTGGAAGCATGTTTGGATTGGATAGAAACCAGCAACTGGTAGGGTTCTTAATCACATTTTTAATTGTCCCACCATCATCAATTGTTGTTCACTTGTTGTGCAAGTAATGCACATTTTATATTCTTCAAACATACAAATATTTGTGTATGTCTAAGAAGCACCAACTATAATTACTTGTAGTATTTTTTTGCTATGAGCTTGAATTTTCACTTGAGTGACATACTAGCATCAGTGAGTGTAAATATAAAGAACAGTAGTACTTCAAGTTTAATATAAATTAGAAACAGCATATGTTTGTTGGTGGGAGTACAGTTGAAATGCTTGTGAGCTTTTAGTCCAAACTATGTAGAGAAATATGTTTTTGGCTTCATAATTGGAAGCACAATATATAAAATGATGTTCTGAAGTCTTTGTGGTAATTTAATAAATACAGTAAAAATTATGATAGTAAATGCTATTTATTATTCATTTTCCTATGGATTCCCCCACCTTCAAGTGCTTATTTTATATACACACACACACACACACACAACACACACACACACACACACACACACACACATATGTAAATACATACAGACTTGAGGGAAAGTCTGATAAGTGGATGTAATTGTGTCCAGTACATTATTTTATTTTGGTAAGTTCACAAAGCAGAGCATGTAGAGCTTAGAGTAATAACCTGATTCATGTTTCTACATGTTTTCCAAAGATCTTTCTTTTTTTACATGAATGAATGTTGTTCTGCAAGACAAAAGATGAAAACGTTGGATAAAAGAATAAACTTACACATCTAAATAAAAAAAATTAGTTTATTTTGTGCGACATTTTGAGCAGATTCAACTGATCATTCACAAAACTTTTATGTATAGTGGAGAATTAAGTTCCCAGTTCGTATGATTCTTTCTTATATTTCTGTTGTGTATTGTTTGCGTGGATTGATGGATCCTGTTTAAAAGGACAGCTCATTTCCTGGTGATCAAATATTAAAATCAAGAGTTCTAGTTACTGCTGATTTTTTTCACTGAAAATTGTGTTTGGAGAATTTTTGAACCCATATTCTTATTATAATGATAAATTGGCAAACAACAATTTATCAGTGTAATGAAGACAGACCGATGTTCTGTAGTATCCCCTCCTCCAGAACAAACCACTTCATTATACTTATAAATCATTTTGTCAATTCGTTATTATATCAGCATAGTATGCTTCTATACTCAAGTACTATATACTTATACTATTAAGAGGTGAAATTTATGTTTACAACATAGAGTTGTAACTAATACTTTTTATTGACAAAAATTGAAACTGACAGGTTTTTAGAGCTATCAGTGCAGCTACTAGTGAGGAGGGTATTAGTTTTCAGCATCTCTGTGAGAGCTTGAAATCATTGACTCCATCTGTGATTCGGTAAGTAAAGAAAATGTATGTTTGTTTCTTTTTGTAATACAAAACGGTTCTTTGTGGTATGTGTATATATGGTAAAAATGAACTTCAGCTACTGATGTAGTTATATTTTTTTTAAGAGTAAACTTAACAAAAATACTATGGGTATTGAATGTAACACTATACTCTTAAGTATTTATCATAACATTATTCCTTTTTCATGACTGTAGTATTAACTGCTTCAATAAATTAACAGTTTTGCCTTTAGTAAAGTAAAAAAAAATAATAATAATTGATAACTATATATACACCTGGAAAAAAGTTAAGCACCCCCAAATATTTTTCAGGATTGTGTATTGAAAATAAGGTTTAATTTTCATGATGTTGAGCAATGTTCATAATTTCAAACATAATTAAAAGGATGTGAGTGTTCAGGTGTGACATTTAAATCAGGCGCATTTTTTTCCCCACGTGCAACTTGCTCCCTTCTTCACGTCCAATATGCACTATTTTCTCGTGCATCAAATCCGTATTTAAGTCCCGAATTTCTGAATGCAAAATCATTTTAAGTAAGAATGGCAAGAAGACGGATATCAGAGGCGCAGATAAGGTTTATAATTGTCAATGTTTCCGCTGGTATGTCCTACAAGGCGATAGGTAGACAGCTTGGC